ACCTAGCTGCCCCAAAATTTATTTTTCTTTTCAAATAATTTAAATAGAGTCCATGAAAGGTAGTCTTTTTTTTTTTTTTTCTGAAGAGGCAGTCAAGGTGCCCTCAAAATTCTTGTAGTCAAACTGCTATTGCCAGACTAGTTGACTGTATTTTCTGTTGTGTTGTCAGCATATTCCAAAGTAATGAGTTCAGTTTTCCTTTCATAATCTTGCAAATATTTCCTGAAGCAATGCCATTCTAGGTTTCAATACTGGCTTTTCTTGGGAGTGAGGGGTCGGGGGAAGGTTTTGGTTGTTGTTAAATTCCCTTATTTTGAAGCAGTGGGCCAAGAAAATAGAAATAGGTTGAGAAAAATGGGACCTAGCTTTCTAGTAATGTTGGTTTGTAGTCTATTTCAAGAAAAGAATGAAGAGTGTCCATTCCAAAGAAAGCAAACTATTGTAAATGGTATTGCATATTATCTTGTTAGGAACTCACACTTTTGTTTTTCAATACTGCATAGTTACTATTGGAAAAATATAGTTTTAAGTTGCTTCTCCATTTTAAAGTGACCTCACCTGAACTCTTCAGAATTCAATTAATTTAATTTCTGAATACTGACTTATGATTTTACTTGATTCTAAAAGGCCAGACTTATCAGCTATTGATATCTGTCCACATCTGCTTTTATTAAGGCTCTAGAAAGATTACAATAAACAATACTAGCTATCTTGCACTGAACAAAGTTACCTTTTAAAATTTGTAGATGGAATATATAACTCTATTGTTTTAAATCATTACATTTCCATGGTATTGACAAGTTATATTTCCATGGTATTGACAATGCCAATAGTCACACACATGACATGAGACTATTAAGTAATGTAATCGATTTAACAAACATGTAAGAAATTAGGCATTCAAATGAGTATCATCCTCTTAAAAGTACTCTCTTTGGGGAACTACGCATTTGTTCAAATGAAGGGAAGAAAAAGACATTTATGCTCCAAGCAAATGATGCTGTCATTTCTTAAGGCATTTTTGGAACTTCTCTTTCGGAATTGCCTTCAGAGCCCAAGATAACATTTTTTTAAAAAGTATTCTCACCGCTGGCAAATCTTCATCCACTGAGGCATAAACTTCTGTTCAAAAGCCATTTTTGGTGCATTAAGTAGATGTCCAAACTAGCTAATAGCATTTTGGTAAAAACTGGGAACTATAAAAACCAAAACTGATTTGTGTGGACAGTTCCAAAAATTTCAAGCAATTGAAATGAGCACTGTATAGCTAACTGCTTAGCGATTACTCTGAAGAGCAACATTCTGAAATCTGAGTTAAAATCAATCTCATTTCTTTATAGTCATCCCTTATATTTGTCACTAGAGGATTTTATTCTTTACCAAATCTTTATCTAAAAGTGTTGTGTAAACGCCTAGCCAACTAACAGTAAGAATTTCAGAACACATAAGTAATCCATTTTATTACTATCAAAGTTAAAATGGCAGCACCTTTGTGGTCTAATTTCAGTTGTCTCATCCCTGTTTCACATATACAAACATGTGTATATATGTATGTGTATATGCATATATGCACATACATTCAAATGAATCAAGAAACACACAAAACATGAAGCTTAATAGAAAGTTGCTTAAATTCACTTTATGCTTATTTCCAAGTAGCTTATCATTAAGTACTCATTTAAGTAAAATGTGTTCATACCAGAATCACTCAAGAGGGAATGGATCATTTGTTGGTTGATAGTACTCAAAAAAATTTCCCTTCTGCTTTAAGCATATTCTTATTAGTTGGAAAATGTAGATGAATGCCATTTTAACTAATGGTATCACTACAAGTAAGATAAAGAACAGGCTAACTGCTGACTTCGTAAAAAAAAAAATTTTTTTGGTGAGCCCTTTGTGGTTTATTTAGCCATACCTAGTAACGCCCAGTAAAGTTTCTAAAAACAACATAAGCCACTGGACCTATGTACCAGAAAAAAGCCTCCTTCTCTTCTCTCACCCCCTATGAATTAAGGGTTCTTAATGCAGTTGCATTAATCTAGAGGGAGGAAAGGATGCAAAATGGCCAATTTTTTCAAAGATAAAAAAAACCTTCCCATTTGAAATCCTTGGTTATCTTTCATTAGATATGTATTAATGACTAATTTCAACTATTAATCCCTCCTATATTAATACAGGACTTTTCCTCCAACAGTAAGGTTTCAATAAAAGTCTATACTTTGTAAAACCTGCATTTAATCTTATTTCAGTAGACCTTGATTACACCAGTAGATAAAGCTTTATTTTATACAACAGAAATCTGGATTTTCCAACAAATCCACTAAGCAGTGATAGTAATATTAGTTGGTATTATATTTGCATCTGGCTGAAACATTTTGAAACAGTGGCAATTGCCAACAAACATTGTAGTGGTAGTAGACAATACTAAATGGTACAACAGCATTACTGTACTTAATTTTATTTAATCTTTAAATTTTATTCCTAGTTACAAAAAACGAGAGCCCATATTAACATTTCCCCCTTTAGATAACATTAAGATGTACAAAAATGTAAATAAAAGGGTATATGTGAAATTTCATTTCATCACTAGGACAGAAAAGTTACCACCTTCATAAGTGCCCTGCTGACTTTGGCAGCAGTTAATAAATCATCTATTCAAAACAATAGATCTCAGAAACTCCAGAATAACAGTAGAGTTTACCATTCACTTGACTCCAAAGCTATGAAACCACCATTCCAAGGCTATTCTGGCCAACTAGGGGCTGCAAATATACTGATTTGGGAATTCTAGGGTGGAATGACCTGTAAAACAGTAATACAGTTCCCACCTTAAGGTTTTGTCTATTTTTTTAAAAAGAATGTGTAAATCTTCTATTAAGACATATAAAAATCTAATTTCTTGTACTTATTTGTTACACAAGTGTGCTAAATTTTGGACTTTATAGCCATGTTAAACACTAATAAAAAAAAAACAGCATGGAAAGACTGCTCCTCTTTATTAAAGGCAGCAAGAACAGGTGTGTACTCTTTCTCTCCATGAAATGAAGTCATAGTATTTGATACAGATCCTAAACTATACATTTCAATTTGGAATAAAAGAGGGAATAGAAAACACCCAGTCATAAGTAGGGTAGTAAACAGAGCAGAATAATAGGTAAGCTTTAAGTATCAGATTCTCAACTTTGTCTTTTCCTTTAGGGAACAAGGTGCTAATGTGTCACCCTCATAAACTAAATCATAATTGCTTCCAACTTTTTGCTGAGAATTTTAAATTGAGGCAAATGCTAAACTCTCCTATAAACTTAAAAACAACACTTCAATCTCCTCCATTCAACACCATTACTACCTTTTACATAAGCCTACTGTTTTATTAAGGTATAACACATGCCCTGAGCAATACTTTGGAAGTTAGCCAAGAGCCAAGCAGTTACAATGGCAAATACCAAGCAACCAGTTTCAATACAAATTCTGCCATTTTTCATGACTCATCTGCAAAAGCTGACTCAATACAAAACATAGGTTTTTTTTTTTTTGAAGGAGCAAGATGACAAAATGATTTAGGAAATTCTCATGTTAAACATTCCAAGCCCTTTAGGATCACATCACATGTCTCAAGAGGCAATAATCTGGCATGCTATATATTTACAAAGTAAAGGTATGAGTACAGTTTTTTAATGAGGATTAAGTGCTGAGAAATTAATATCATGTCACATTTGACATAGGATGGCTAAAATCTTGTATGCAATCTGATATTACTTGCTATGAAATCTAGAAAATGGATATGATTAAGAACCAAAAATTTACTTTTGATGGCATGCAAGATTTTCCTCCACACAAATTTAGCAGACTGGAAGCCTCTTTGACTGTTCAAAGCATCCATAAAAGAAACACAACCAATTTATACATTTTATTCACATTTATTTTTCGCTTTTAGTGTGCTCACAGAAAATTAGAACACCTTAAGCAGGAGTTTAATAGCAATTTTTGTAAGCAAAGTTACATTCCATCTCTAAGTCAAATTGGTCAAAGCTTCTCCAGTATTTACAAAACATGATAAGACAAGATGCTACACAAAACCATTGCATCTGAAGATTTTTCCTTTATTCTTAAAGACGACTGGAAAAGAAAGCATTGTCTGCTGTAATCAAAAAACATACCACAGTATAAACAGTAACCATTCCACTTATCACAGCTTGGTTGAGTTTAAAATTTGTGTTTAAAAGGTCCAAGATGACTGCAGTTTTACAAAAATGGGCAGGGTGGAAAGAGTTGCAAACTTCATGTGCTTCTGGATATCAAGATTTGTTTTTATACAATAGTCACAGTTAAAAACACCCTGCTGGTAATACATAATTACACTTTATTAAGGTCATAAACCAGCAATAAACAATAAAGCCTATACAACTTGTATTTCTACTTAATCACTGACTGGTACAGCTAACATGAGATAAGTGAAAAGTTCCTATGGTTTAAATGAACTCCTAAGACTATGATTTTTTTTTTAATCTGGGTATTGATTTTTTTCTTTCCTTCTTAGTGTTGTAAACCTTATAGAATGCCTGCCTCTCAAAATACGTCGTAATAAGTTTTCTTTTAAAAAAAAGACTAACCCCTTTACATCATCATTTCTTGTGGCACATCACCTTGGCAATTTTATGCACCACTTGAATTTCCCCATTGTGGCCCCTATCACTTCATTTGATATCCCTTATTGACCCACCCATCTCCTTCATATATGGGCATGTCCATAGATTGACAAAGAAAGTTTACATTTTGAATAAAGATGCAAAGTATGCAAAAAACATTAATACTGATGCAAAAAAATAAAAGGAACAAGGCAGAGAGAGGGGTGTTTAAACTCTCCCTCGAACTGTTGGAATGGTGGTAACAGAATGATTTGAGATGGGATCTGTGGGGAGGGAGGAAAAAAATTGTTTTTTTTTTTCTTTAAAAAAAAAAAGCAAAAATTAAAAAAAGAAGACATCTTTAAAATCAATCCCTGGTTATAGACAAGTTCTCCAAAACCAGTACCTGGCACCACTCCAACAAACAAACAGGGGGGAGAAAAGTTCTTCGATTATCTCAAAAAATCTTGCCCTTTTACTCTGCTGCCGCCTCGGCTGGGGGGGCTTCTGGACTGGACTCGGACGGGGCCTCCTGTGTGGGGGCTGCGGAGGCTGTCGAGGCTGTGGCTGTGGCTGCTGCTGCGGGGGGCTGCTCCTCGGCCTTGGCCGCCTCGGCCTCGGGGGCGGCGGCCGCGAGACTCTCAGCGCCCGACGAGGCCGCGGCAGGGGCCTCCTCGACGGCGGCGGCCTTCTCCTCGGCCTTCGTGGCCTCATCGGACGAGGCGCCCTTGACCTCGTCCCCCGCAGGCACCTTCTCGGGCGCGGCCTCGTCGGCCTTGGCCTCCTGCGTGGACGCGTCGCCGCCGGCCCCGCTGCCTGCGTCTTCCCCGGCCGTGGCCTCATCGCTCGGCCCGCCGGCCTCCTCCCCGCTCGCGGCCGCTGAAGCCTCGGGGGCGGCCGCGGAGCCCGGAGCGCCGGCTGGGCCCGCACCCGCGGCCTCGTCCTTCCCGCCCTCGGCGGCGGCGGCGGCGGCGGGGCTCGCAGCTCCCCCGGACGCGCCCTCGGCCTCGCCGCCCTCGCCCGCCTCCTTCTTGTTTTTCTTGAAAGAGAAGCCGCTCAACTTGAAGGACTTCTTGAAGGAAAAGCGCTTCTTTTTTTTTTTCGGGGTCTCATTGCTGCTGGGAGAAGGCGTCGCCCCGTCCTCCGCCTTGGGGGACGACGACGACGACGCCGATGCTGCTTCGCCTTCTGCCGCGGTGGGCGACGCGGGCTCTGCGCCCTCGCCCTCCCCGGCTCCCGCCGCCGCCGCCGCCGCCGCTGGGGCCTCCTTCTCGCTTGGGCTCCCGGCCGCCGCGGGGGCCTCGGGGGACCCAGCCGCCTCCTCCTTGTCGGCCCCTGCCGCCGGGGAAGCGCCTGCCCCGGCCGCCGACTCCTCTTTGTCTGCGGCCGGGGCGCTGCCGTTGGCCTGCAGCTCCTCCTTGGCGCCCGGCTCGGCGCCCGCTGGAGACGCGTCGCCGTTCACCTTCACGTGGCCGTTCTCCTGCAAGGGCAGAGAAGCAGGGAGTGGGTCACTCGAGCTGCGACGCCCGGGGGCCCCCTCCCTTCCCTCCCCCCTTCCCCAATAACCCCCTCCCCCGCACGAGGGAAGGGCGACCCTGCGGCAATAAACCAACATCCAGGGGAAGAGGCTGGCCTGTCCGGCGAAGAAAGACCAACCAACCACCACCGCTCCAGACTCTCGTCGAGTTCCCCACCCCCAGGGCCATTGGAGGGGGGGGGAAGAATCCACAATTAAAAGTGCATTTTCGTAAAGCCCCGTCTCTTCTTTGCCCCTCTTCTCCGGAGGATTTAAAAATTAAAGGAAGATGGGGGGCGTAGCATAAGAGCGTCCTCAGGAAAGACACTTGGCCAAGGCATGGGGGGGCTGAACTGCATTGGAGATGACCCCTTTTCTCTTCTTCCTCCCCTCCCCCAACCTTCCCACTCAAAACAAACACCGAGGGAACTTCGCAAGGCTAGGAAAGGCCCGCTTCCCAAGAAGGGGCCTGACTAGGCAGGGGAAGGCCTGCGCCGGCAGAGGGCGCTGTGGCTCCACCAGTGCAGGCCCGGTCGCCTGGGCCCGCCGGGCTCGGGGGCGGGGACCGCTAGGCCTGCCTGCTCCGCTGCTGCGCCCCGGAGCTCCCCAGCTCGCTCCTCGTCCAGCGGCAGCGCTGCTGAGGAGCAAGCCGAACAAAGCTCAGATTGCTCCCCTCCCTTCCAATCCGGTTAGAGCCAACAAGAAAGGAAACGCGGTATCTTGCGGGTCTCTTCCTCCAGCTCGCTCTCTCCCTCCCTCCCTCCCTCCTCTTTCCTCCCCCTTTTCTTTTTCCTCCCACTTTCGTGTGATTCTGTAAAGCTTGGGGCGCCCCCCTCCCGCGCCCCAGCGGCTGTCTTTGCATTTTTAACGGGTTCAGAGCCTGCCCGGGTTGGTCAAGGCGAAGTAACAGCATCTGCTCTAGGAAAAGAGGCGTGGTGGGTGCTTTAGTGTTTTAAATGCAGCCACCCATAGCCAACCTCTCGTGCGGTAACTAAGGCCACCCGAACAGGCTGGAAAGCAGTGACAGGGTGGTCAGCATCTCTGGGAAGAGATGCCAGCCACCAAAACGCCTCGCAAACCAAACAGAACCAAATACATAGTCTCCACGTTTCGTTCCCCTCCCACTCCCAATTCCCCTTTGAAGGGGCAGAAACAGGGACT